AGAAAGAGAAAAAGAAAGGAAGAGGTGAAGAAAGGAGTGAAGGCTGATTGGTTTAATACAGAGACACAAATTAAAAGCAGCAAAAAAAGAATGAAAAGACTAGGATTTAGGGAGGAGAGATGAAAGTGAAGAAAAGACAAACATACACAGCTAAGGCCAGAGTGCAAGTCCTTTCAAGTCCTCATTAACCCCTCAGTAAAGAGGTTCCTTGTGAACATTTAGCCTTTTCATTGAGCTCTGCTTATTCAGAGACAAATGTCAGCTGTGAAGCATGTTTGGATGCAGCAGTCACCCTCTGGAACCTTTCATACAGTGCAAGGAAACAATTTGCAACGCTTTATCTGCACAAACTGACACAATTCTGCAAACTCTATGTTAGACCCATGCACAGTTGTGAAAATCACACCCAAATATGTATAAGTAACCACGGGGGAATGGAGAAACTGAAATTGCTGTTATACCTCACATTCCTCAACTGCGAGAGTGAAGGGTACACTCTCACTCAAGGCTTGCCACTTGAAAACCTCCAGGTTTTCCTTTCTGATTCATCGTTGAGGGCCTTGGGAGCATGTGTGGCAAGGAAGGCTGAGGGAACCATGGCCCATGGTAGCTTCTTTCTTGCAAGTACATGGTGAGCACCCAAACAAGCTGCTAGGCCTCTCCCCAAATGCTTAATCTTGTCCTTAACGTGTAAATTAATGAGCCATTTCATTAAATACACTATGGCTTCTCACAGACCTGAAGCTCAGCAGAGGGTCAAGAGAACTGGGGTCTGTTGTGGGCTTTGAAGCACAGATCCCTCTAATAGAGTCTGAGGCCCTTTGAATTTAGAAAGCCCCTTCCCAGGAAGGATTTTCAAAAGGCTCTGCAGATAGGTTTGAATAGAGTGTTATATGATTTTGAAGGGACAAACACAGAGTGATATTTACAACAGCTCATGGAAACTTGTAACAGGGTTTTGTTTACTAGAAGTTCTTTCCTTGCCAATAGTAGTTAGTTTGTTCATTCTTCATTTATTCATGCTAAAGGGGAAAAGGAAAAAAAAAAACCTATCAACAACAAAAAAAAACAACCACATAGCCAATTATTTAGGAAGGTCAAACGTGTCCCAGACTAGACTGTGAATTACTTAAATAACAGGACGTGTCACAAAACTGACATCAGTGCTTCTTTTCAGTCCCACCCAATGATAATGAGAAGCCATTTGAACAATTTCAGCAGAGAAAAATAAACAAAGGTTTTGTGCAGACCCTATAAGAGCTGGATCCAGCAAACCTGTACTAAGTCAAATAGCTCTTTTCAAACTAGATATTTCCTTATTCAGCAAACAGAGAATGTTTGGATTACTGCAGTAATGAGCATGTACAGGATCAAGTTAAAGAAATCAGTCCACATTTCTCTTCTTCATAGTGAATGTCACTACATAGAAGACAGCTGTCATCTTTAAATCCTGTTTTAGTGGGAATCAGATAGCACTTTTGCAGTAGGGGAGAGAAAAAGGCAAGCACATGAAGGAAAAATGCTGTATGGTTCAGCTGCCCTGAACACTTCACCACTATTTTACTAGCAAGTGATACAGAGACATAACAGCGGGTAATAAAAACATTCCCAGGAGAAAGAATAGGAAAGTACTCCTTTTAAATGTAGACACTGTACTTGAAGCAAAGATGTCAAGGGAAGCCCTCTTTGCAGGAATGAGAAGCAAATGAAAGGAGGCTGTGCAGTGGATATACGTGTGTGCACTGGGGGAGCTGATGTCAGAGGGCAGAACAGCGCACAGCCACGGGCGTCCCTGTGCGGGATGGAGGCAGCGAGGGAGGGGTGAGAGGGAGCTCTGCTTACAACTGAGGTGATGTCAGCAGATTGACTCTGCTCTGCTTCAGTCCACTCACATGTGAGAAGGTCATTGAACAACATGGATCCCTCCTCCAAAATAATAACAAATGAAAGGATGTGTGAGTGCAAAGGACTCCAATTTGGGGAGACTTTCACTAAAGGACCATTGTGTGGGGTTGCACTTAGAGAAAATTTTGAAAGCAGATGGCTGCAGGCATTTTGTTTCTGCAATTACACTCATCTCCATGCCTGAAGCAAAGGCAGTGCCTCTGAACCCTGATCCTGCTGGTCCACCACAGAGCCCAACCAAAGCAAGTGCAACCGTGCCATTGGTACAAGGCATTGCTCCTGGAAATGTCAGTCCCTTGGCAACTATTCCTCATGGCAAATCCTGTCCTGCAAATGAGTTATTGTCTGTGTCCTCCATATCCCACCTGACTGTCAGGCTTTGGAGGTCTCCTACCAATGCAGTCAGTAACATCCTTCCACTCTACAGGTATAAGGTACAATTTCTGACATGTGAATTTGTACGTTCTATTCATTTTGTTCTCTTTCCTCTGATTTTAACCCTTAAAATATAAATTTCACGATCTTTTTGGTCTTTAACAACAATCCCTGAGAACTGTTGGGGTAGCAAAACTTCCATTGCCATAAAGGCAAAGGCAAAGGATGAATGAAATGAAAAGGTTAATTGATGTCAGCATGTTTTTGAGAGGGATGTTAGGAAGGAGGAGTATGCAGTTACAGCAAATAACTGATACAAAGTTCAGATACAAGTTCCTTCCCTATCTGTGAGGCAGTTTTCAAGAATGAGTCAGGGAAGACACTTATGTCTTCAGCTGGTATTCCTGCTCTTTTGTTGTATTTCTAGGGATGCCGATCTGACCAGGACCATGCAATTCCAGGCACCAGGAAAACCTGTGGAATTACCACGCAGTCTGGGAAAAGAAATAGAGAGATGCTTTACATCTGAGCATCCATCTCAGCTATTCTGAGCATCTCAGCAAAGATGAGTTTTAGAGAGATGATATAGCAGGCTGGGGGAGCATGCAGCATAGCAGACAATCCAAAATTTTAAAGATTAAATAGACTAATAGGCAATAAAACTGGAAAAGTAGGTGGGAGAATTGACAGCAGCATGCTAATAGTGTAATTTACATAAATTATTTCCAGTTCCAGCTGCAGTATCTGCAGCAGTTGCATCCCCAAGCATCTTCTCCACCCTTTACTTCACATCTAATCAACTACATCACCTTCTCAAATGTAGGGACTGAATAGGTCGTGGAGTCTCTGTCTTAATTACTCTAATCAAAGCATGCTTGCTTGATAGAAGTGGTTTATTTAAAGGCCAGTGTAAGCTAGTCTTGACTAAATACGGTTTGGAAGTGAACAAAGAACCACTTACCTGAAATATCAGAGGAAGCAGTAATATTGAATGAGGAGGTGGTTGTCTCTGGAGTTCGTAAGCTTTGTGGTGGTACACGTGGAGAGTATGGCTCCATGGCCTAAGAGAGGAGAGGTAGGTAGGAAAGAGAATGTTTATAGCCTAAGAGAGAATGGACAGGTAAGACAGATAACATTTAAATAGAGGCACTATAAAGATAAAAGCTTTACAGTACTTCAGCTGGAAAGCACTGGATGATTACAAAGCATTATTATCCCATTATCAGAAAAGCTCACTCAACACATAAGGAAAAATGAATAGTTCACTTTGTGCATTTGATTCAGTCATTTGCCTGTTTACATTGAAACCTGGCTGCTTTAACTCTCCAAATGTTTAGTATCAAGTAGGTTCAAAGAGAAGTACAACTCCTCAGCAATGAATTTCCTGACTTTGCTCTTTCTGTTTAGAAAAGATGATAAAATGGATTGCAGTGTTTTACAGAATTCCAGTATTTATTACATATTGAAGCTATTGGCCTAGCATTCTAGAAAGATTTACAGGTTTTTGTCTTCAGATGTCACATAACAACTACAAGACTAATCTCAACCAATGATGCTAATTTGCCAAAGTAGTTTCACAACTGTCTGGGGCCTGAAACCTTTCACACCGGAACTGAGCTCTTCAAGGATTGCAGAGCATGGGAACAAAGGGAAAAAAAAGGAAATATATGAGACAACTAAATCATTTGTAGAGTGATTAGATTAAAAGATTGTAGTGACTCTCAAGCTGATGAAATGAAACAAGGCAGGAAGCAAAAAAACAATAAACAAAATGGCAGAAGTTGTTGAATCCTATGGACAAGATGGTGTTACAAAACACCGAGACCCAAGGCAGACCCTACTCAGCAGTGGAAGCACTGCTTTCTCTCACCTCCTCTAAGGCAGAAGTGCCCGCTCTGCTGGGGTTTCTCAAAAGTTTACAAAGCACGTTTCCCTTTTGGTGCATCTTTCTCCATGTGACCTTCCTGTCCCAAGCTCTATACAGCTCCATCCTTTCAGTGCAAAGAGAGGCTGTTAATGCTGGTTGGTTGAATGCTACGTGCTCCCCTCCCTTCCCTGCCATAGCTCAGCACTGATGGCAATTAGAGGGGCTGGCAATTCCCTTGCCAGCACATTCTCTGACAGCCAATACTTACAGCCTATTCTCACTTCTCCTCTCTGGAGGAATTGAGCTGCCGCTGACTTCTGCTGTCTAAAGCTTTGTGACCTATTTGAATGCTCTCATGACCTTCAGAGGGTTCATGACCCTAATGGAGAAACATTGGGCCATTTCTGTAAAATGTTATTATTTTTGCATGGATAGATATTCCTGTGTACTGAAGTGCACCAACACCTTGAAACTGTTGGACACTATTGGACACTGGGGATAGACTTATACACAGGCATTTTTAAATAATACTTTTATTCTTGTGAAGTCTCTGAGATTAATAAATACAGTGGTTTTTAGTTTTGTCCCTTCCCGTGCTGTTTTCTGCTGAGTGCGAGATACAAAATCAGATTTTTTTTATTTGAATATCATGGTGTTGAATGGAATAAAAACAGGAGGACGTTTCTGCAAGTTCAATCTTGGTTCTGAGGCAGAAGGATCCTCAGTCTGAAAGAGAAATGGAAAAAAATAATGTGCTGCAACCACACCATTTGTGCACATACAAAGACCACGTCTTCTAATGCTGCACTACTATGGATGGTGCCCTAAGTCCCATGTATATCTGCATTTACAGTACCCTTGGAAGACTCATTTACCTGAGACAGGAGTCGGTGGTGCTGTTGCTGGGCATCTTATCTTGCCATGGAGTTTTTCCATTTGGAGACTACGTTGTGCTGAACGGAAAATGGAAAGGTAACAAAATCACATAAGAGTGATATCAATGTGCAAAAAGATCTGATGGCTAAGAGCGAGGAAGAAAGAAGCAGGAGACTGGTTAAGGTCTGATGCAGAATGTGTAAAAACAAAATAATCATGTGAAAGCTCTGTACATGAATGTTACCTCTTCTAACTTATATACACCCAGAATAATTTATTGGAATTGATCATCCAGTAGCGATATGAACATGAGTCTTAAGAAAAAATTATATATGCTTCATAAAATATTTGTTGAGTAAGAGACAGAGAGAAAGGCAGAGCCTCCTTCAGAGATTCAGTGCAGGACAGTAGTGAAAGTAGTGTCTGCATGAAGGTCTCTGGTTTGATGCAGATAGATATTCTCATGTAAAGGAAGAACCCTGTATTGCAGTAACAGATTTCAGATTCAGTCTTGCACCATTCAGATCTACCAAAGAGCACCGAGCCCTGGGACGATATGCAGACAAGGCGTGCAGACAAGGCGAGGCAGTCCACTCTGGATCAGGTCCCAGCTTGACCTCGCTGCTTGATTTTAAGTCTGTGAGCAAACATTGACTACAGTAACAGCAAACAAGGAAGTCTCTGTAAGGTGTAAAGCTTAGATGCAAATTACAAACACACGTATATTGAAATCATTTAGGTTAATTTCTTGGTAGTGACAAAGTGCTTATTTCAGAATACTCATTCCATGCCTTGAACTGCTGCTTTGTCCAGCTCTTCAGTGGCAGAAAGCAATTTAGCATAATCCTTCTACTGTAATGTCCAGTTTTTCCACAAAGATTAGAGATGAAACCAAAGGCCTCATTCTAAAGGAGGCTTATTGCTTTGCAAAGCTGGCCACTGTGTGTTTAGCTGTACCAGAATGGCCTATTGGTGAAGAGAGAAAAATCTCACATTTGGGAGGATGTGAAGGAGGAGTCCCAGACAACCAAAACAATCCTTGTTTGCCAAAGAATGTGTGTGAAGCTTAAAAAATGATGAATTCGAAACACATTTCCCACTTCGCAACAATTGGAAAATACCTTTCAATCAAATGAATAATAAAACTCACTTCCCGAAACCGGTGAGGCTGATTATCATCTAGCTTAAATCACCGTAACACTACTCGCATGAATGTACCTGCACCCACCGTCTGATACCATCTGCGGATCTGGTTCAGCAATCTGCGTAAGGGGGAGTGGAAGATAATGATGGGAGACCTTCCAGTTTTTGGCAAACAGGCTTAGCTGTTAATCATGTCAAAGTCAGTTCCCTTGCCTCTTGTATCGCACTTGACTTGAAAATTACAGGTTTATTTTTTCTCACGGTATTTCTGCTTCTATCTTTGTCTTTTGTCGACTTTGAGCAGAAATCTGCATGTTAAAAGAGGCATGCAAATTGTTTTTAAATGAGACTTTCTTAAAAAAATCAGAAGTGCTGCTGCATTGAGAGAATGAATATTCAAGTGTTGCTAATTTTACCCTACAGAGTGAGAGACTATATTCCTTTAGAAAAAAATAAAGGGTCAGGGGACAATTATGTAGAAAGAGAGTCAACATTATTGGCCTTGGCCTGATTGTGATGTCGTTCATGCAATTAGGTCAAACCATTTCTGCCAGATACACAAAGGTATACAAAGGAAGTTTTAATCAAAGATTTCCTGACTTTCATAAATTTGAGTTTACGTTACAGAAATCCCAGTCACTATAAGCCGAAGGAGAAAAGGTTATTCTTTGCAGTTACAATTACAATGTAAAAAACCCTGACATTTTGGGTTTGGGAACAGTTCAGTCTGTTTCACCCTCCTTTCAGTAGTGGTGATGAAATTATTTACATTACTCCTTCCACTAAGTTCTGCAGCTTCCCAGCATAAAGCTAGAGGATATGACCTTGCTGTACAAGGGTGACCTTCTTCCTTGGACCAGTTGGACTAACACAGAGCTAGTTCCTCTGGCCTTTTGAGTTTGTGCAAGTAGGAACAGACAGTTTAAGTTTATTTGAAGCATAAGGGATATGTTCTGTACACAGACAGCAAGTGACCACCCATATCTCTTGGAGTTCATTCACTCTGCTTTTCCCAGAGAGCTAACTTGGTGTTTTTCAATTTATTTATTTTTTAAAAAATCATTTCTGCTACCATGTTTGCAGAGTTTCCCTGGAAAGGATGAGATGTGGTGTAGGATGTTTTTATAAAGCTTAACTTGATTTTATCCATTCCAGCTGGCTCTAGCATTTCACTAGGATTCAATAGAACGTATTTGCATCCAGTTTTAAGACCTGTTGTGACTGTAGGAATCCAAGGATCAAGTCAAGCTGACTTGGGGAGCTTGGAGAAATGGCCGAGTTTATGTTCCGCCCATGCTATAACTCAGCTTGCTAAAAATACAACTACTGGGGTCATGGAACATTTACCCTAAAGAAAGTGGTTAAGGAAGTTGACTTACAAGCACAGTAGGATCCAGCACAGCCTGCGTCAGCAACTACCACCCCCAACTGTGGCAGCTGTCCCACCTGTCTCCCCCACTGCCAATGCAGGACGTGAGGCCAAACTATGCACAGAGTTGCTTCTAAATGATGTGAGCATGGTTCTACCCCAAGACAGCGAAAAATTCTGTTTGACCTCATGATTGAGGCAATTTGCCAGTTCTTGCCACAAAAGGTGACAAAAGCAAACAGAGGCACCCAGGGTGTGCAGCTGAAGACTACATCCACCATGGCTATTGGTGTTTCATCTCCTGTCAGTATGTCAACACCTGAAACCTAATCTGGACTCAGCCAGCTAGAGTTGGTGCAGTTTAATCTCAGATTCCAGCTCTGGCCAGTCACAAGTGATGAATCATGCCAGGCAGATTTACAGGAAAGGTGGCTCTTGTGGCCAAGGTAACAATGTGAATAGTGGGGCACCATGGTTGGGTGCATTGGCTTAATCATGTCTTAATCATCAGTGTTACCACCTCTAGGCTGCATGAACAATAACTACCTCTCCAGCCCTTGCGCCTACACAGTGGGGCTGGAATCCACTGACAGAAGGGTGAAGAAGGTAGCTGCCATGGCAGATATCTGTTCCACTCCCTTCTGTTATGCAGACCTTGTAATCAAAGTCTTCAGGACTCTTCATTCTTCTCTTACTTACTAGTACCATTCTGTCATACACTTGAGGACCAAGAAAATGAAGGAGCAAAACAGGACCTTTTCCTCCATATGGGATTCTTTCATTTCTGATTATGAAATAAACTCTAAAGAAAGAAAAGACAAGAGAGAGAGCAAACAAACAAGGAAGACCAATTTATTTATCAGTTCCAAACAAGCTTCTACTTTAATGATAGTATTTATAAAAATGCTATTATGCTAAGTTATTTGGTAAGTTTTATTCAATAAAAAGAAAAAACGAAGATGAAATAGGGCATTGAGAAAATTCCTTTTTGTTTATTTTTGTCTCTGTAGTGGTTCATTCTACCCACCAGTGCTTTTTCTTCATTGCAAGCCCCCCTTCTCTCTTGATTGAAAACAGACTCTCTAATAAAAATGGTTTAAGATCACAGTGATAACTTCAATTCAAGAACATGAATAAAAAGCACCCTTGGAGGAAAGACCCCATCTGCTCACATAAGATGTTAGGAAAGGAGTGCATAATGCAGAGTAGTGATTGCTACCAGGTGTAAGATTACTCACGTCCTCCTAGTATGGTTTCTAACCTATATGGCCACTTTAAAAAAAAAAAAAAAAGAGGAATTCAAGGATCCTATAAAACAGGTCCTATGTTTTACATTTGACCTCTTCCTGAACATCAACCTTATTAAAAACAAATAAAAAAAGTCCTGAATGGAAGCTGTAGTTTGATCTAGAGCTTATGGAGGCTGACAGGAAACCTTCCATTGCTTTTAGCAGGGCAGGAGCCAGCCTCTGCTTCATTCAAAGGGAGGCCTTTATCATGCTGCCTTGCAACGATCACTGCACAAGTGGTTTCTATTTCATTTTATTCTAATCGCCTTACAGAAATACATTTTTCACCAAATTGAAAGCTTGTCTTCCCTGAAGCCCTGGAAAGGATTAGATAGCATTACATCAGACATTTCAAACAGTAAATTGTGAACTTGTAAGAAGAACTTCAAAGCATGGTTTTGTGAAGCCTCAAGTGCCCAGGCAGAACAGCAGAGGTGAAACAATCTCAATCTCTGCAGCGGAAAGCTGTGACTCAGGGAGTATGAGCCATGAATCCCATTATTTTAATCTAACGTGTACATTATCATAGGTTTAAAATCCATGTCTGATGTGCTGTGCTAGATGCTGCATGAATGTAAGATAGAGTCCAGACTCTAAGACAAAATGTAAGCAAGATAAAAGCAGATTATGAACAGAGATGGCAGGGTTCTGCACCCTTATAGCAATAACTTCAACAACTGGAGCTTTGGATGGCACCATGCTTTTAAATTCAAATAGTTAAAAGAGTAAAAAAATATCTAGCATAGACACAAATAAGCATACATAAGAACATTTTTCTTGTAGTAGACTCATTTAAATTAAATTAGGTTATCCTTCTACCAGTTTAAAGCCTCCTTGTGGATGAGTCAGGGATAAGGGTCCCAGTTATCTTGGTAGGAGCTGGATAAGGGTCTCTGCCTATTCATGCAAGACAGGTGCCACTTCACCTTCATGAGGATCTGCCTTTTGTCACCAGATGTGACATTAATGAGCTAGTGGCAATGTCAACAGTTCGCTGCTTTCAAAGTCATTATTTGGAGGCAGAAATATACTTTAGAAAAAGCTTGCTTCAGGGGTGGTTTGAAGTGAGAGGAAGAAGCAGCTTACCAGGTTTCAATGTGGAGCTTTTTATCAAAATGACTTATCAGAGAAAAATGTTCATGGGGGGTGTTCTTTTATTTTGTTGTCTTTTTGTTGTTGTCGTTTTACTAAATTTCAGCACACTGTTGGAGTGAGTTCTCCCTATATCCTTTGTGCTCTTCGCTCATTGTTTTCCTTGTGCTAGGCTCCCCAAGGGCTGCAATTACTGGGCAGTT